AGGAAGAACTGTTAAAGAAAAGGCTTCCTGTGTCTTACTGCAGGTGAGAAAACTATCAGCTATGACTGCTAAACGGAAAACTTTGTTAAAAGAACATTAATGCCCTTTTCTATCATGAAGAGCATTATCTACCACCTATTTATTATTTACCACCTTGCATGCAAATCCATTTATTTGTGTTTTTGTTTCACATCTTAAAGAGGAACTGTAGTCCCAATTTCTCAGACAGGTTATTAAATCTCTGTAAGAAAAATTAATTGATGGTATGACAATTTTACAAATTCCAAATTAAACACAAAATCTGGAACTTTGTAAAAGTACTGTATAGTTGCCATGCAGTCTAGAGTTCTTCCTGCAGCTGCAATGACTAATGTGATGTATGAGCAAATAAGTACTGTTCAGGTTGTGAAGCAGCCATTTCAGAGTAGAAATGTTCCACTGTGTTCTTAATACAGAGTTAAGAACAAGTCGTATTTGTCAGCAAAACCATCTCAAAATCAAGAGCAATCCAGTACTTCTACTGGGTTGGAAGAGATGTATTCACAACCCTGCTTGTTTACAATGTAATAGAACTGCTGCACCTCACCAGAAGTTATCTGGAGCTTTTTATTTTCTGACATAAATTGGGGGTTTTACATATTACAGTGTACAGCTTACGTTCATTGTGGTTCGAAATGCATTTGATTTGAGTTTCATTTTCAAAAGCTGATTCATTCTAACCCCCAAAAATAAAAACAGCTTTGCAGTTCCCCTTTAAATCTTTCCAACTTGCATCTCAACAGCTGTCCCACTACGTTCTATCATTTACTTTGAGTACATCACTATAAATGACTGAAATAAGCTGTGTTACATGTACAAATGGAACTACAAACTAGATTCATAATTATTCCTCTTTGGTGGCACATTATGCTCTCCCATTTCATTTAGCATTAGTTTTTATTTCATTCTAATATTTAAGCATGATGGTTTAATTTCTTGCTCAGTCTGGTATTCTTCATCAGTTAAGAATGAATGCTGCTTGTTAAGAAAAAGTTTGCCTTTTCCTCCAGGTATGGGTGTGGCAATAGCGTTCACATTTCCTGCATGAAAATCTGGGCAGATCACCAAACCAGATCCGAGACAGACACTATGGTAAAGTGCCCTCTCTGCAGAGAGGATTTTGCGCCCATGAAGTCTCTGCTACAGCAAGTTAAAAATGCTGCTAAACTCATAACTGCAGCAGAGAGGGAACGGCTGGATAGACATCTAGGAATCCCCTGCAACAACTGCAACATCTGCCCCATTAGCGGCAAGTGTTTTAAGTATGTCTTAATTTCTTTTGAATATTTGTAAAGAATTTTCATTCAAATAGTCAGTGTTTGACATGGTGAAATCTTCCTTGAAATGCACCTACCTTTTACTAACAAAAGTACTGATTTTGCAATTATGATCCCCCCCGCCCCCAACATTTTTTAATTTCCCTGTGTTAGCATACAGACACTGATTTATGAATCATTAGATATTTGTCTGGATTCTTTAAACACCCTAATATTACAACAGAGTATTGATAAATTATCAAGAAATGTTTGGTGCGCCAAGAAAAATACATTTTGTAGATTCTTTAACTAGTGGCAAGAAAGTGGCTACCATGCATTATTTAGACATAACTTGGCTGAAGAGTGAAGCTTCAGGGATTATTTGACAGACTTGATAGGTCTAAGGAATTATAACAATAGGGTATAAGAACAAATAGGGTTCTTTGATTAAATTGCCACAAGGGGGCAGTACAGGATTATAAATGGGGAAAAAAACTACAAAAGTTTAGGTGTTATAAACCTATAATAGTTTTTTAAATATTTATTAACAATAACTCCTTACACTTTCACAGCACTTTTCTGGACACTCCACTTAAAGCACTTTACAGGTAACAGGGACTTGCCCCCACCACCAATGTGTAGGATCCACCTGGGTGATGTGATGACACCCATAATGCAGCAGAAGCTATAGGCAGAGAGGACAACAGAGTGATGAAGCCAATTCATTGATGGGGATTATTAGGAGGCTATGATAAGGGCCAATGGGAAATTTGTTACACCCCTACTCTTTTCAAGAAACACCCTGGGATTTTTAATGACCACAGAGAGTCAGGACCTCAGTTTTATGTCTCATCCGTAGGACAGCATCTTTTTACAGTATACTGTCCCTGTTGCTATACTGTGGCATCATGACCCACACAAACCACAGGCTGAGCACCCCCTGCTGGCCCCACTAACACTTCTTCCAGCAGCAACCTTGGTTTTTCCCCAGGAGTTCTCCCATCCAGGTACTGACCAGCCTCAAACCTAATTAGCTCCAGTGCGTTGCCAGTTGCAAGTTGCAGGGCGATATGGCCGCTGGCTATTTTTAATCATCCAGTTTCTATTTTCTATCCATTTCTCCTAGTTCGGAAGATGGCACGAGTCTTTGTTTTAGATATGGAAGCAAATTCATTAATCATTATAATTAATCCCATAAATTAATTTTATAGGAGTAGCACAGTGATGCAGTGGTTAGCGTTCCTTACCTCACAGCACTAGGGCTCCGGCTCCATCCAGTTTCCACATTGCTATCAGTGTAGAGCTTTTATGTTCTTCCAGTGTTGGTGTGGGTTTTCTCTGGGTACTCTAGCTTATGGGGGGAAAAAATAAATAAATCAGCCCTGGTGTGAGTGAATGCATGTCTGAGTGTGCCCTGTGATGAACTGGTATCCTATCCAGGGTGTATCCCACCTTGCATCCATTGCTTGCCATAAGCAGCTCTAGCTTCTCCACAACCCTGAATTGGATGAAAAGGTTAGAAAGTAGCTTTTTGTATCTGTACAATGTATATGGGTATGTTTAATTTTTATTTTGGAATTTTAATACAATCCATTTAAACGTGATTGATTTAAAGCACCTCTATATGACAAAATAGTTAAGCAAGCTTGGGACTACATCATGTTTCCAAACATTCCATACTGATCAATATATCCTCTATTTCACCTCAATCACAGACAACTGGCACATTTCAGTTTCATTAATGAAATTAATTGGGTTTTCACTCACAATGCAACAATTTGAATGCTGATTCTGCTAACCAAGCTTGCAATAGCAGAGTCAACGATTATTTTTGGCCATATAGATGCATGGTCTGCAGCAGTTACCACCTGTGTGAGGAATGTTTCCAGAAGAAGTATCATCCTCAACACAGCTTTGCTTTTCGTTTGGTAAGTATCATTTGCATTTGTCCCCCCCCAAATACTATAAACTGATTTGTTTGTTTATATACATCTATGGTCAGTGTCCAAATGTATTTTAACAAAGAAAATCAGTGACTGTACAAAAAATGCTGTTCTAGTTCTTTTGGACAATAGTCATTATTAAGCAAACAGTTTTGTTGTAGAAGAGACTTCTAAATACTTTAACATTTGATTTGTAGACTAACTCATTACATGTACAGTAAATATTTACCTCAGTTATCACTGTCTGAGAAGGCATAAGTGCTGTTGTCTTTTTTACTGTATTAAGCCTAAGAAATGTTTTTTTAAATACATTTAGTTGACAATTGGGCATCTACTAGTTTATTGAACACTTATGCTGAAGATGACCACTTTTGTGAATACATAATTCACTTAAATATATATAAAATTTTATACATCGTATACTATGTGAAAAAAACATGGAGAGAAAATATTTATTGCACTTTAGAAATTACTGAATTAAAACTATTCAGAGCACTGAATAAGATAGAAGATACCATTAATTTAATCTGTGATGTTAAGTGTCAGAGACAATGAAGGTTATTCTTAAAACTAGATGGCATGGCTATATTGTCCCATTAAATTACCATAATGATACTGGTATGAGAAAAGTGAAAAACATTACCCAGCAAGTGTCAAGTGATAGAAATCAATATGTAAAAAGTGTAAGAGTCTGCCAATGTAGTTGTGCTAATGACTTGTGGGAATCAAACCAACATGACAGAAAGGAGTTTGTGAAAAACACATGTAAATTACATGAAGAATCTGTAAAGGAGTGAAACACTTGGCATGATCACTGCTGAAGTGGTGTGCAACTGGCCATCTGAACAGGATTTTCCATATTCAAGTTCCATAAATATGCTTGTTCACTGAATGAACATATAGAAAAGTTGTGCCCTGCTCACAACTGGTATCCTGTCTGAGATGAGCCCTTTACTTGCTGGGGTAGGCTTTGACTTATGATGAAAGAAAAAAAAAAAGGCCCTATTTTTTAGTTTGGAAAAGCAGAGTGGAGAACTGGCTAGAGTGCTGGACTGAAAGGTTGCAGGTGAGATGCTGCTGTACTCTTTAGCAAGATACTTGCTGACAAATAACTCTCCAGGTTGTCAATCAATTGATAAAAGAGAATGTTTTTAATTGACTTAACAGGTTAAAAAAAGCATTTAAAAAGTTTCAATTCTAGGGCATAATTCAAAACCAACCACTAATAGATAGTGACCATTACATAAGTAAGACAACATAGATACACTTGTAAACAAAAGCTGAAAGCAAAGTGAAACCAATAATCTGACAATGGGTTTATCCACAAATATTATACAATTCTGAAGATTTTTATAATTATACTATAGTATAGGAATTAGAGGTAAATTGTCAATTACTGTATACAAGGTTTTGAAACTTGTATGATTAGAGGTTTGTTTCCCTAATTCAGCTCCTCACAAAGATTTAAATATTTTTCCCCCCTTTTGAACTGAAGCATGTGTCTTGTGCTTATGATAGCACATTGAGAAGTCACCACTTCAGGGTAGAGGCCGAGAAATTGAAAGACATCAATTCCTTTTCTTCTGAAGACAACCTTAATATTCATCACTATTTGAAATATACTTCACCATCAGAACTGAAAATACTTACGAGATCCCACTACAATAAATACTTCTCTAGCACAACATGTTGTGATGGTGTCGGTTGTGTTAGGAAGCTGCCTGAACACCGGTAGAGCGCGTGTTGTCTTTCGTGCAGTGTGCCGGTGTGTAATTGTCTGCAGAGGTTTCGGTACTCCGGTATACAGGTAGGAGAGAAATCTTTCTCTGATCGGAGAAACTAGTTTGTGCCGCTTATGAGGAGAACACATTCAGTTCTACCATGAACGCCGACTACGGCCGCGTGGGGATCTTAAATCGCAGCCCTAATTAGCATCAGGTGTGGAAGCTGCACATTTCCACGCGCCGCGGAGTGGGAAGTGCAGTGGGAGGTGTGTTCCACTGTCACAATGTTTATTAATTAAATTAACCTTAACAAAAAGAATGTCTGACATGACATCAATCACACCAAAAAAGAATACAACAGCAGTACGTTTTGTCACTCAGAACTCTTTCCATCCCTGTAAAAATCATTTCTACATCCAGTAATCAATTCCTTTCAGAAGCACTTCCGTCAAGTGCAAAAATGGCTTTTCGATCACACTAATAATAAATCTACATGCCTGTTTATGAAATGGGAAGAGATGCATCGAGGAAGTAACTGCCTCTGCTGCTATGATAAAGCAAATGATAGATTTCATGAATAACCCCCAAGGAGTTTCATCAATGCAAGTGATTTTAATTGTATTTTCTAGAGAAGAACCCAAAAGTGGCAAGCAGTGGAACATTTTTATGACCAGCCTGTATTTCAGAGAAACCAAGAAAGGCAAGTTAAGAATTCAATCATTTTAATATCCACTGTGCTAAAACAGTAATCATTATTTATGCCCTTACCTGCAGTCACTTTGACAATTATTTTTAAATCATTCTGAAATTTTTAGAGGTTTGCATTTTAGGTTTTTGTCATGTTTATTGCTTTTATCATTTTAGACATTAACTGCAGTTGGGTCACAGTTATTCTAATGACTTGACTTCTACATAAAGAAGTTTTATATATGTTTTTAATATGTTTTGAAAACAACAAACTATTATAACAGAATAATGTAGTACTTTATTTTTCAATTAGTATTTTTACAGTCCAGAATGAAGTGATCCCTGAGCACATTGTGAAAATGTTGCCATCTGTGAAGGTGAGACAGAGCAGCACACTGCTGGAGCCTGGGCAACAGTGTAGACTCTGCTTGAAGAGCTTTAGCTTGGGGCAACTTGTGAGACAGCTGCCTTGCAATCATAAGGTAAAGATAAATGCATTCCTTCTATATTCTGTTGAGTTCAATTGATTCTAATAATTGAGTGGTACATGCTTTTTATCTTAAAGATATAAAAAACCATTATAAACCAAAGAGAGCTACTAACTGAAAGAAAAATGATTATTTCAAATTGTTTACTTAATTTTCTTTGCATGTTTAGCTAGTATTGGTGTATTCTTCTATTAATCCATTTTTTTAAATACAGTATTGTAAATTACTTCTGTACGAGTTACGTATAACACTGAAAAAGTCCCTCACTTTAAGGTTCCACATATATTATATCATATATTATATCAGCTTTTTTCTCTTCAGTTCCATAAAGCCTGCGCTGATAAGTGGCTTCTGCAAGAAAGCAATTCCTGCCCAATAGATGGTCAAGTCATCTACAACCCCATAACATGGAATAAAACAACGAGTACAGACAAAACTACAGTGACCTCACCATCACAGCTTCAGACTCAAATGATGGGACAACTCCAACAGGAACTGTTTGTCCCCGGGATAGGACTGTCGCTTAAAACAGAAGGCAGCAAGGGGCCTTATAAACCAAGGAATGCAGATGAGTGCACTTCACCACCAGTTACAATTCAACAGGATAGTGTCCAGAACGGCCTTCAATGTCTTCATTTAAATAACTTACCCACTGGTGGGCATGGAACAAAACCAGGCTTTTTAGGGCAAGCAAAACAAAAATTGCAACCAAAACGAAATTTAAGACCCTTCCATCAAAGGAAGTGTTACTCCTCTGAACCTGGAAGAAGTGAGGACGATAGCATGAGGCACGCTGTATCTGCAAATAAAATCATGAGCTCAACTATTAGAACTCCAGGATTAAGGCATGAAGATGATTTATTGAATGCTGAACGTGTGGAGTTGTCTGCTGTTAAGAGAATACCTGATAAAAAACATGAAGGGTTGTTTGTCGGGGTGAATCCTGTTAGATTGGACAGTGCTTTACAGTGCAGAGCTAGCAATCATCCAAAAAGAAAAATGTCACAAAGGAGACCATTGTATAGAAGACCCACAGATAATACTGAGACTGTGGTAGGTATAGACCCAACTCTCAAAATGGATGGAATCTCAATGAATAATCCAATACAAGGAAACAAAACAACAAAATTGTAGGATTATTATAAATGGATTATATAAATTGTTTATTATTACAATATAATGGTAACTCAACTAAGTAATATTATAAAAGCTTTTCTTAATCTCCGTACATTATATGCTAATATTTGTGAAATAAAGAATGAACATTTACAAAATTTTACTTAGAAAAAAATAATACTACCAGAGCTGAAGTCTGTTAAATGATGAGTGATATTCAAAATGATTAAAAGAAACTGAACCATTGACTTTTAGGTCCAAATGTTCCCTTCAGGTGAATTAAAAGGGGACAACCTGCTGGGGCAATAAGTGTAAATTAGAATGAACATTTTGTCTGTAGTCACTGTGTAAAAATGAGTTAATAAAATGTAAATATCTGAATCATACAGAAAATCTCTTAAAATATATACTTTAAATACAAAAGCTCTTTTCACATTTCACCAAAACATTTCATAGAATTATCATAGAACTGAAAACCAAAGAACAATAATTAATAAGTACAGTGTGGTGACAAAGACAGTACCTCACAGAGTTGCAGCAGTTTTGTAAGGAGCGGTGGGCCAGACTTCCTCCCAGGTGATGTAAGAAACTGGACAACTCTTAAAGGAAATGTTTAATTCAACTTATTGCTGCTGAACTTTTTCACATGATATTGAATGCTGGCTGATTTTGTTTTATACATTATGACAAGGTGGAATTTGGTGTGTTATTTATCAAATGAGGTTAGATGTATCCATTGTGAGGACGTGGTGAGGACTAGGTGAAGGGCAAATATATCCAAACATGTTGTTAAACCATAAAATCATAAGGGAGTGTACTTTCAGCACACTGTAAGTACTGTAAATACCTACCTGTCATTAGTCTACTTTCAAGAAAACACGTTTCATACTTTTATGAACCAGTCCTCCAATTATTCACCTTAAGTGGTCAATATGTCCTCCATCACATGTGGTTCATGTTCCAGAAGTGCCTTGAACACCTCCTCAGCTTGCTTTTTACTCTGTGTGTGCTCCAGGATTTTTCTCATCTTGTCTTGTGGTGTCCGCTGCGTTCGGATAATTGCAACTGCTTCAGGATGCAAGACGTTGCTTATCTGGTCAGTAATAGGATTCACATTTTTAACTTTCTGAACTAAGTCGTATTGGTGGGTCTTTAGGAACTTGCCTTTATCTTTTAAGTTGGAAACAAGAAAAAAAAAACAATGTCAATATTTATGATACTTGCACACTTTCATAAAAATCATAGAAAACAAATTAAGTGAAAATATTATTTTCAAAATAGTGTCTACCCTGCAGGTTAAGACAGCAGCTCAATCGATCAGGCTAATCTGAACATATAGCAATATGTAAAGCATGGTATTTTTACTATTTGAAACCTGAGCTGCAACTACATGAAATGAGAGCTGTATAGTTTAAATATCTGCTTTATTTAAAAAAATAAATAAAGAAGTGTGTGATATATTGCTGTGTATGTCTTGATCACTAAAATAGAATACTTCTGACCTTCAATTGATAAGGCAGGTCCATTCTGAGAACCCAAGGGAACTGAAAAAGACAAATTAAAACTTTTTAAAGTTTGAGTTTAAAGTAGTATGAGTTTACCATAATTTAGTATAAAAGTATATGGAATCTTTTTTCCAATATGTATATCATACAAAGTTTTTTACTTTAAGATTTTTTTTTGTCGTTAGAAGAGAACTACTACAACCATTGCTGATTACCTGATAATATTGGCTGGCAACTGTTAGTTCTTGTTTGGTTAATGGTTATGGGCATGTTCACCATTCCAGTTATCTCTGAGCCATGTATAATTGGAGATACCACATAACTTCCATCAGAGGCCGCT